TTCAATGAATGTTACTCATGAGAATAGTTCAACTTCATATATACATATCAAGAAAAGATAAAAAATTGTTTTTATTAGAATAAATTGAATAATATATAAATTATAGAGTTTTATATACAATCTTTATTCTTTTGAGAATAAAAGTATTATTAAATATTTTCATTCTTCAAAAATATTCTGAATACAAAAATGTCAAATTTAACTTTTTTCCTTGTAGAACACTTTTATCTAACTAAGATTCAAAAATTCTTTTTTTTGAGAGTTTATAAAGTTTCGATGCAAAGTATTTATATTTAATAAAGCTTCTTTATATCATAATACACAAACAAAATCTAAAAACTAATTTTTATTCAACAGATGATGATGTAGGATATGTTTTTAAAAGTTTATTTGAAAGCCAAGCTGGTTGACGATTTCGTGCAAATTGTTTTACAACTTTATCATCATCACCACCACCTTTAAGATTGGCTTTTTCAATAGTATTTGTTTCCTATAATAGAAAATAAATATTAAAAAAAAAAAACTATATAGAATTTATTCAAATACCTGAAATTCATTTACACATGCATAAAAATCAGCTACTTCTTTTTCACATGCAAAATTATCATATTCATGTTTTTGTAAACAAGTTAACATCTAAATAATACAAATTATTAATTTATTTTTATTAAATATTTTTACTTACAATATTCATTAAAGGACCACATGTATATTCTAAAAATAGAGAAAAAATATCAAATCTTATTTAATGCATCGTATTCCGTATATGTGTTTACTCTTGTATTTCAAAACTCTTTTTTTGTGTACTCAAAAAGTGAGTACATTCTAAAATCGGTCAGTGTCCGGCCGTTTACACGATAACTTTTGAAAGAGGGAGACCTGGTCAAGTTCCCTGGAGTCCGGAACTCAAAGGGTGTGGGTAGGGGTGGAAAATTGCCGTTAAGTTCTCAGATAACTGGTAACCGTTGCCCGTCCCCTAGGATTCTCAAGTCCTATTTTTTTCTCAGAAAGTCTGTTTCTGCATTAAAAAAAAATAATTTTTTTTCAAAAATAGGACTTGAGAACCCTAGGGGACGGGCAACGGTTACCAGCTACCTGGGAATGTAACGGCAACTTTCCACCCCTACCCATACCCTTTGAGTTCCTGACTCCAGGAAATTTGGACACTGCTGTCGTCAATTATTTTTTACTTTTTAAAGTACACATAATACTCGGATTTAAATCCGAAGTTTTCACATTTATAATATACCTGATGCACTTGTTCCACCACCACGAACATAATCACGTAATCGTGCAGGTAATGCTTGACGAAGTTGAAATTGATTAAGACGATAATTAGGTGCAATAATAACTCTAAATAAAAAAAAAACATCATATAATTTATTTATCTAATTTAGAAATATCATTTTACCGTGGTCCAGATTTTGGTGGTTTATATTTTAAAAAACGTAATTGAGAATCAAATTTACCCATCTAGAATATATATATATATATATATAAACAAGATTTCTTAATCAATTATTTTTCTAATGAAGAAATATTATTATTAAAAAGCCAATCGCTTGGTATATGAGCACCATGTTCTATTGGCCAAGAATTATGTTTAGGATAGAAACGAGAATGATTACATGTTAAACATGATACAATTATACCTGTTTTATGTTTATCTTAAAAAGCAAAAAAAATTTTTTTTTATTAATATATATATATAAAATTAAACTTACTAAAACAAACTTTTGCTGTTAATGGTGACCATAATATCATATCACAACATGAACAAAGTAATCGTTTCATTTCCGGATGTCTAATCAAGATTATATATATGAAGAAAATAAATTTATTGAATATATATATATATATCTTAAATTAATATATGTTACAATCGAATTTGTTTCTTTTGAGCATGTATACGTATTTGTTTAATAAGATGTCGTACCAAATTAAAATCAGCAGTTGTTAATAAAACTGTATGTGCAGTCTTATAGAAAAAAAAAAAAAAAAAATTAAATATTTTTTTATCGATAACTATGTCTTCTTTTTTTTTTTTTATCTCGTCTCACTTGAAATAAATATGAAAGATGATTAGCAGCACTGATATTTGTTGATGATGTTAAATAACCTGTACGATTTTTTTTTGATGATTTATTTTCTTTACTAGCCATCTGCAAAAACAAAATAGAATATTAATCAATAATTCTCGGATTTTCTTTTTCTTTAATGAATATATAATAATAGTAATAATAATGATATGAAGAAAGAAAAAAGAAAACAAAGAACAGATGCTCTATTTGAATAAAAAGAATATCATAACCCAAACAACCCAAAAAAATAAAAACAAAACGAAACAAGAGACATGTTAGAGACCATACACAATAAGACAAAAAAGAACAAACCATTGACATGTATTGAAAGGAAAAATTCTACTTTACCTAGGAAAAAAATGTTTCTTTTCTTTGCTTGTTTTTTTTTTTTTTTTTATTCATTTCTAAGTGAAACATACAACAAAATAAAGGGAAGCTAAACATGCATAGAAAAAAAAAAACAAGAAACGAAATGTAAATGTTGTTATTTTTTAGCATAGAAAAAAAGAAAAACATCAAGAAATTTGATCATAGGATAACAAAACCAATATGCCTGGCTAAGTTTTCTTTTAATGATACGTAATAACAATATTGTTGGTAAACAAAAGAAGAAGAAGAGAAAAAAAAACAAAGCAAATAACCAATGGAATATAATAAGAAGAAATATAAAGTTCAACGAAAATTAAATCGTCATGTTTAATCGAGATTTATGCAGGTAATGACAATTTCTTTCCTTTCAAAACTAAAAAAAAAAACAAAATATTAAAAATATTTTTTTTTTCTTCTTTTATTTCAATACCTCTAGTTATGTAAAGATAGAAGAAGTCACAATAGAGAACTGTTTGAACAACACCAGATATAATTGAAATCCAATCAATAAAATTTTCCGTATAATAACGATAAATCCAATTAAGAATATAGAAAAATCGATAAATACCCAATGCAAATAAATAATGACTTGTGATTGTTTCAGCTTCACCTGTTTTACTAACCATAAATAATTGAGGAAGTATAGCAACAGATTCAAGATAAATTGAAAATGTCCAAAGAACCTTAAATTATTCATATATATATATATATATTTAAATAAAAAACAAAACTATTTACTTCAAGTACTGAAAATTCATGATTCCATAATAAAGCAAGTACAACTGAAGGTAAAATTAAAAATTCAATACGAAATGTATCATGATTACGATCATATGTTGCTTTAAATTTACGATAAATTAAATAAAATGTAAAATATGTTGAAACAAGATAAATTATTTTCATAATTGAATTATATAAACTAATAAAATGAGTAAATAAATCAAGATAACGACATGTAAATACTATAGCATAGAGTAAAACACTCTTGCCAGATAAACCTTTAATTGAAAAAAAAAAAAAACAATAATTACAATTTAATAAAAATAATAACAAACATTATAATTTTTTTACCAGCACATGAACGTGTTTTCCAAATTTTAAGTAATAATATAATAATAGCTCCCAAATGGGAAAAATCCCCTAATAGACGAAAGATATTCATTTTAGATAAATCTTAACTATTCTAATTTTGTTTTAGGATAATAATATGCTTATCTAAAAACTAAAACTTTTAGTTAAGAAGTATCAGATGTTACAATCAATGTTATACGGAATTTGTAAACATATTCAAATAAATGTATTGGTAGGAGTACGTGGCCTAGAAAATCGATATTATTAACCAATTAAAACTTTTTATTATAGATATCGTTTTAAAATGATATAAAATATTCAATAATATATATAAATTTTCTTATTCTATTATTTCATCTATATATTAAAGTTAAAATGACAATGATTTAGTTGTTTATATAGATGTCGCTATATATCAAACATGTTTTATGTTACTATGATGATGAAATTCTTTAAACATTTGTGATTAAATCATAAAAAATTCAATCTTTTAATATAATTTCAATTGTTTACTACCGTCCAATGTATATCAAAAAGCTCTAAGGTTAAATCCATCAGGATGTGTCCAAGAAAAAAACAACGTAGCAGTACGAATACAACAGAAATTTCTCAAAAGTGGCAAGTGCACTCTTTCCATGATTAAAACCCTGAGTAAAAATATGTAATGTAAAAAATTTCCAACATACAATATCTATCTTTTAAAGATACGCAATAGTCAGCTCATTTATTGTTTTATTGATATTCACGCGTTATTTGCAATATAACTCCTGTCGATAATGCCATTCAGTGCTTTTATATCTCCGTTACTAAGCAGCTGAAGAAAAAAGAGTATGATACTCATTGTCATTGGTTGCTAACAAAGGATTATATCCAACGACCTTTGGTGCTAAGTGCCGAAGTCTATAAGGTAAGTGAAGTCAATAAACTTCAACTGAAAATTTAGAATTTCAATTACACTAGAAAATCAATGATTTATCTGACATTTAAATTTTTCTTTTTTTCTTTTTTTTGTATGAAAGTATATTAAAAATAAATATTCAATAGAATCGATACAAAATAAGATTTAATTAAAATTTTATAGTGCAATTTCAAAACAATAATTATTGATACTACAATCATGCTTTTAGGATCTATATATAAATAATATTGAACATCATCAAATGTCAATAGTCTTGATTTTCTTTTTTATCTTTGATGCAATGACAACATAACCCAGAATAAACGTACAATAAGGAACACAAAAGAGAACGCAAAAAGAAAAGAAAAATAAACTGTGGAGAAAAAGAACAAAATAATAATAAATATATCAAGACATCATGGTTTCTTTTAATGCGCAGATCGTGTGAAAATACACACATATACATACACATATATATATATATATAAAGAAAATGAGGAAAGTTAACACCCACAAATAAATAAAAGAAAAAGAAGATTTTCCTAATGATACAAATGAATAATATCATCATGATCAATTAATTACCAAGCTGATGCTTCAGCTCGAGTTTCTTTTAATGTTCTATCATTATTTGTTGATTGTTCATCATCATCATCATCATCATCATTATCATCATTATCATCATCGTCATTTGTATTATCAAAATTATGATTAGGTCGATTTGGATTTGGTTGTAAATTACCATTATTGAAATCATATTGTTCATCATGTATTTCATGATGATGATGATGTTCATCATTTAAATCAAGATCAGGCATAGGAAATCGTAGAATAGCAGCAATACCCGTTAATTGACCTAATCGTTCACCTGATGCATGCATACTAAAAATAAGAATTTTTTTATTAATCAAATTTTATTAATAAATTTACCTAGAAAATAATCGTACAATACCACCACTTTCTTTAATTGAATCAACAAGTTGAACATAACGTCGTCGTTTAGTAAAATCAATATTTCGAAATAGTTCATCGGTTATCAAAAGATCTAAATAAAGAAAAATAATAACACCTGAGAATTTCTAAAAGCATCATGTCGAATTTGATAATCTATCCAGAATTACAAAAAAAAATCAAATACACCATGTTATAGAGCAAATCGAAGTATATATATCACAAATGTTGTTTTCATAAGATTTTGAAGGAACCAAACTGAATTTACTGGTAGACGCCCATAGATTCAAACGCTCATCAAAAACTACTATCCGTAGAAAACGATAGTGAATCATCGAAAAATCGCATTTTTTGTCCTATCGGAGATGCTGAGTATATGAGTTTTTGAGAGGGGGGGCAAGCGCGACGAAGATACCCCCCCCCCCTCCAGGGCCAAGTAAAATCATTGCAAAAATTGTCTCAAAACAAAAATTTTTCACTGCTAATATTATTGCGTGATCAGTCGACTGCAGCCGTAAAATTAAATTTCACAGACATACTGCAAAAATGGGGGGAGGCTACCCCCAACATCGAGAGCGCTGATTTCTAGCCCATGAATAGCGCTACAAAACTGTATATAAGAAAATTATTTTTACAAACATTTTCGACTGATACCCAAGCTTACAATAGTCAGTGCTTTCATTCGATGATCGCCTATCAGTAAATTCAATCTGATTTCCTCAAAATCTTATGAAAACAAGATTTTTTTTATATACCATTCGACACGTCTAGACTTGCTCTACAACATAGCATTTTTTGTTTTTTTTGATGATCGCTTATTTACATTCAATAGCTTGTGATTGATTTGCTTTTTCAACAACTTCTAAACCATAATATGCTTTATCAGGTTCATCATTTAATAGATGCATAAATTGATCAAGTAATTTCATTTCTTCAGCAGCTTTTGTATCCGATAAACGATTTAATACTAATGGATCTTGTAAAATTTCTGTTAATGCATGTTTAAAACCATTACTTGAATGTAATAAAATAAATTTATTACGATTATCTAATAAATGTCTTTCATCATCACGTGTTGCTTTATTTAACATATATTGATAAAATTGATCTTTAATAAAACCAGGACTAGCTATAATAACAGCTTTAACTATTTGAAAATTAATATGTTTTAATATAGCTGATATAATTGAATCAAAAAATTTTTCCATTCCACGATCATGTTGTGCACATAAACCTTTACGTTTACGTGGTATTGTATGTTCAATTTTTTGTCTATGAATTGTTAAATGTTCAGTTATTAAACATAAATTAGCTAAACCTTCATGCATAACAATAGCTGCAACATCAGCTTGATGTGCTGGATTACATGCCATATCAACACGATCTAATGCTATTGAATCCCATTCATGTTTTTGTAATGTAAAAGCATTATGTAATTCTAAATCTAATGTATGATATGAACCTATTTGCAAAAGAAAAACAAAAATATATATATAAAGAATTTTTTTTTGTTTATTACCTTTTTTAACAAATTCATTTTCTTCAATTGTACGTCCTTTGACACGTAATGCACATGCAACACTATCATAATCAACAGAAACAACTTCAATAGTTAATGTCATTCGTTTTTTTGTTGTTGTTGATGAACCTGTATCAGTTGTTTGAACAACTTTTCTTACAGTTGATGCACGTAGACTATCACCAACAGCTATTAAATTATATGCATGCCACATATCTTCTTGTTCTTCAGGTTCAAGTTTAAGTTCACCACTTGAACCACGATCAATATTTTTTTTTATTAAACGCATAATGAAATTTTGTTTTTTTTTTTTTAAATAAGTATGAATTGTTTTTTTGTATTTAAATCATATTCATTATAAACGTACTACGCAATAATGGAGATATATATATGAATCTAAAAAAAAAAAAGAAAAAGAAAACGTACTCCTGTTTTTATTATTGTTCTTTCGAAAGTATATTACACGTTAGAATGATTCATGCTTTCTTTTTTCCAACTGTATGTTTTTCTTGGTCAAAATATTTTACCAATAGAATCATACATAAGATTGTAATAGTGTTAAGGTCCTATATATGAAGTAAGATAAACTAAACTTGAGTCCATATTATATTTTTTTTCCTATATGTGTAATAATCATTAGATGTCGTCAGCTGACAATGAATTATATTACAAGAATTTTATACGATCTGCAGGCATGTACCAAAGGAGGGGGGCATAGGGATTGGGCCTAGTGGCGTAACCAGGGGGTGGCCAGGTGGAGCTAAGCCCCACCACTGAGCGAAGCTGCGTCAGCTAAACACTTTTACGAGCCTCATCACCGACTTAGAGCTCGACCAGATGAGCCTCTCCACCATTAAAATCCTGGTTTCGTCACTAATCACCCCCCCCCCCTCCCTCAGGATTGAAAACGCCTGCAGGGGGGTACAGGTAGACGTTTTTTCCCAAGTGAATTTTCTCATGGTGGGCTCCCTCTCATAGGTTTGGGCCCTTCCCTCAGAAAATTTTTGGCTACGTGCCTGATGATCTGTTTAGTGCTCTATTATGTTTGTATGTAATTCTATCTAGGTACATAAAAACGAGTCCATTTTGATACGGCTGAGATCATCATTTTTAAACAAATCAATGTTCGATAAAGTGAACTGTATCGTATATTGTAAAATATTAATATTTCTTTTCGATATGTTTTCCTTATTTTTTTCAGTTGAATTTAAGTTTTCTTTCAACAGTCAAAGAAATTTAATCTAGCAATTTGTGTGTATATTAAAGGTAGTATAGGAATGAAAAGAATTTATTTTTAGGATAAAGCATTTAGATTTATTGACACAGATGTTATTTTTCACTTGTATTTAAGATAAGAATAAGAAACAAATTCTCATGCTTTGAAATCCATATTAGGTCTCTGGTTTGATTCAAACATTATAATCACAATAAATAACTCAAAACGTTTGCGGTTTTCTCTTAATTTTCCTAACATTCAATTGAAAATATTTTTCAAAGTCTTTTCTATTAAACTAGTTCTTCACTTACATTGAAATTGAAGCTTAAGAAAGGACGATTAAATGCCGATGTTTTTTTTAAACCTATTCTTGTTGATTTAATAATGATTTTTGCTCAATATGTTTGATGGAAAAATGTATTCGAAAACTTTTTTTTTTGTTATAAGGAATTCACAACGATACAAAGAAGTTTGATTCAAAATTTTTGGTTCTATGAGAGTTTCTTTTGTTAAATAAATCGAAAAATCATCTCTGATACTTACCTATACAAATGAACGAAGTACATATAATTGTGCTTGTACTTATTTAATAAATCAATTTTATCATTTTGTTTCCAGCAAAAGATAAAAAACAGTAACGATATTAAATGATGAGCATTTCGAAAACCATTTTGTTTTATAAGTATATTCTTCAAACGTTGCTCTTTTCAATGTATAAATAATCACTGATTTATTTTACTAAAATGTTATTCTTTATAATAAAAATAGTTATATCCAGTATGAAATCGAATTATCATTTTTCTTGTTAATTTATAAATTGATAATCGTAGTATAACATTCAAATGATAATTCGATTAGAAAAGAACTAAAGACTATAAATATTCAACACAGTATAATACTTTGTATACATACAGAAAATTTGTTACATAAGATAAATGCTATATGATAAAAGAAAAATAATTTTCTTGCTTTCATTCTTATTGTACATCATCTTTTTGTTAGTAGGAGTGCGAACTACAAATAAAAACAAAATACCATCAATCATAAAACATTGAGTCTTAGACAAAATTTTGATGAATAAATAATTAAACAGAAGCAAATACATACATTGATTATGTGAATAAGAAAAAAAATTTACTTTGCTTTTTAAAGTTCTGAATAAAAAACAAAACAAACTTTAATATTTTACTTTTCGATATTTTCACTATCAATATTTTGTTACTTCTTGCACATAACAAATAGGTATGTATGATCTATTCAAACGTTAAATATTTGTATCTACTGGTATATTCTTAATATTAAAATATTTTCTTTTTAATCGATGCATGTAAATTGAGCTATGATCTTCATGGGCCAATACTGTTTTCTTTGAAACATCATTCGTTACTGATAAATTAATCATATGATTTGATTGAAGAGAAAAAAAAATGAATAAATAGATTTTTTTTGTCAAAATATTAATGTTAAGGTTACCGTTACTGTTTATCAAGATATAGATTAAGAAAAAAAGTAATTATGGTAAACATAGTAAAGTACGAATACTCGAAACTGCATAAAAGAATAGTAGAAAGACACAGAAGAAAGAATACCGCAGATGTGCATTTTAGTAGAGAAATGAATAAAATATAACGTCAGTGACTAAACGAGGGAACCTCAGCGATACGACAATATGAAGCGAAGAAAAAGAAAAAAAACCACGAGAAGGATTTCGTCCAGATCAAACAACCTATACACACATTGGCGACATATTGTGTAAGGGTGAACGGGGTAGCATTAACTGACGACGTAATATTTCATTTTTCTATCGATTCATAGGGCCGATGCGCCCTACCTATATATAAAAATAAAATTAATCTTTGTTCCTTTCATTGATTCGTACATTTCTTTTCTATTTTCTCATATTAGATCATCGAACCACTTTACATGACTGTTTTTTTCTTCTCATTTTATAAAAGATAATTTTTTGTATTATAGCTATGTCAAAAACAACAATAGCATCTATTATGTTTTCAGTTAATGAAAACATAATGAATTTTTCTTGTATGAAATTTCGACAAGATGAACATGGACGTATTGAAGCAGTATATCCCGGTGCAAATGTAATTAATAGGAATGAAAGAACTGATGAATATCAAAATAGTAAAGATCTTTGTAAGTGAAATTCTTCAGTTTTTACATAGACGCTGCATATTATACTTTCTAAGAGAAGCAATAAGCTTTTTTTTTTAAACAAATTATAATTAAAAATATTTTTGTTTATATTTAATATTAATCATTTTAGTTATTTTCAACATAATTATTTTTTTGTTTTCGATACAAATTCATTTACAATAATATCTGAATTTATTTTAAACTATGTTTAATATAAACTGGATAGTCTCTCTAGACATCTTGAGGTGTGCGTGTGTGTTTGTGTATAGAAAAGATAGACATGTATATTCTCAATATATTATTACTGATCGTGTATCATGAGTTTCATCTAATATAATTGTTTGATTTATTTTCATAATAATTGTACTGTGACATGAATTACATTTTTCTTGTAATAATTCACAATACTTCTATAAGATTCAAAAGAACACAAAATGTTGATCAGTATTTTTTTTTCCACCGTACACAAAATGAGAAAACAAGAGTGGTTTTTATGTTTCTCCATTCATATGGCTTCAGTGTCTATATATAATAAAGATAGATGTCAGATAATATGTGAGAAATAAAGTGATTAAAATAAAAGTACAGCAAAAAGAATGAAGTTCAAGGATACGCGCTTATTTTTATTTTTGTTGGTTTTGCTGATAAATTTTTAAAAATTAATTTTAAAAAAAAATCGATTTTTAAAAAGAGTTGCATTGGAAAAAAAGACTACCGTTTTTTGACTAAATACAAATAAGTAAAGTTTAATTATTAATAGAAACTTATTCTACTTTATCGACTTAATGCTTATATAAATGAATTTTTTTTCTATTTTGTGCAACTTTTATTTATCATTTAAGGTGATTATGTGGAACAACAATTAAATATTGTTTCACTTTTAAAAGTGAGTAAAATCATTTTTATCTGATCAAATGTAATTTTCAATTTTTTGTTTTATCAAAGAATGATGGTGAAGAACAACATGAAAAATTTGCACTGATGATAGTCAACGATGATTCAGATTTCAGTGTTGATATTTCAACATTATCTGACGAATTTTATGGACGAAACATCACTTTAGCTATTGTTGCTTGTGAAACACTTCATTTCGGAATTTGGGATCTATATCGTAGATCAGCTCGTAATACAGGTATATAAAAGTTAATGCTTCATGTTCTCTTCAAATCTATACGTCAAATTTTTTTTCTATTATTTTAGGAGGTGACTATATGCTGCTATCAAATGCTCCACGTGTTTTATCACGTGTGATTTCGTCAGTTATTAATGAGCAAAATACTATTCGTCAGGTTTTTCTTCAGATCGATACAGAAAATGCTCAACCTGTTGCAACCGGTGTTGGTCATGTAGAAGCAGAAGGTGGAACAATCAATAATTTGTCAGATTTTGATTTTGATCATGGCTTGTCTTTTTAATCCAGATATGAACAATCCTTATTTTAGTTTTGTTACAGTAATGTCGCACCGATACAACTCGCCATCTATTTTCATTTTTTTATTTCATTTTTTATTTCTTATTAATATATCTAGTCTTTTCCTTTGTTATCCATATATTTAGTCTCTGTTCTCTTTCTTTTCTCTCTTCTCTTTTCTCGCTCTCTATACAATACAATCAATTCCATGCATTTCGTTTTGTTTTTTTGCTTCATCTAATGATTCAAATAAACATTCTAAAAGATCAATACTATAATTTTATTCAGACAAAATATGACTCATTAATCACATATATTAGAATATTTCCCGTACTTTAAGTAAAGTTAAACTCAATCTCGTATAAAGTTTTAAATAAAAACAAAACATGAACAGTGAAATGACAATATTGCAGAATTGAAAAACTTAGAACCTACTTGACGAAGAATCGAACTGAAAAACTACCGAAACTCATTTAATCATTTTTAAAGTTCTGAGTTATTTTTTAAGTGG